GCTGCTGGGGATTTATGCAGCAGCACCCTGTGTGCTAAGGGTCACACAGGTGTGGGCTGCAGGGGGGTCCCACAGTGTCCGGTAGTCTTTGCTCCTCTGGAGTTCCATGGCAGGTGGCTGGCTGCTGCTCTCCCCGGGTCTCTTCCGAGTCCCTCTAGCGGCGTTCCCCGGTCTGGCGGCGGCGTTCCCGGTCTGGCGGCGGCGTTCCCCCGGTCTGTCGGGCGGCCGCGTGCGTTTCCCCCGGCGGGCGGCGGGGTGCGTTCCCCCGGCTTCAAAGTGTCCTTTAATGACATCTCTGTAAGAGCATGTTGAGGGCATATTCCATACGCTTTTTCAATTCGGCTGAACAGCCAGACATCAGCAGAGTCGTCAGCCTGAACGTCGTAGATATACTGTCTTCATTGATGTAGTTGAGCAGGTATTCTTCATTTTGGATACAGATGATGATTTTTGTGTGATCCTGATAGAAAAGTACCTTAAAGGTGCCATCATTGAAGAGCAGCATTAAGACCTTGTCAGACGTGAGCCACTGGAGGTGGTAGAGCCGAGGTCTTCGGATGTTAGTGACACTGGGGAGATCTCCACCATCCATGAGGTTCTCCTCCATGTAATGAGAGAAGTATTTCAGCACCGTCACTTGGCTAATGAATTGTTCAGGGGCATCTGTTGCTGGGAAAACCGAGCACTGGCTGAGCTCCGCGTAATAGTGAACGGGTTTTTTGTCAGGCAGGAGACTCATGTGAGCACTGTTGTTGAAAAGGACGCCAACGGTGTGGTCCGAGAGCTGGTACCCAAACCCGTACTTGTTAGAGTAATCGACCCATTTGGTGACCCATTGGAATGATGTGCTCAGCTGCTCTTTGGGGATGCTGTCGGCTTCTGGCATGTTCTCCAGACATCCTCGAAGGACCGTGGCCACTGTGTCCCCAACACTGCCCATGGTGCTGTCCTCAAGGCATTCATTCACTGCTACTGCTGCAGCTGCCAAGAGTCCCTCTTACTATCATGCGGATAGTGTCCCCGATCTGCTGCTTGTTTTACACTGCGGTTGTTCCAGATCTGTCCACTGTGGTGGCGGGTGGCTGCAGCTCCTCCTCTGTCCTATGTTTGCTGGGCTGTTTAGTTATGGAAGTCTTTTTCAAGTCATGTCTAAGAAATCAAAACCCTTATCTATTGGTGAGGACACAATATGGTATAG